GGCCGGCGAGCGTTCACCAATGGGTACAGCAGTTTAGATGGCAGGTGGGTCCAGGCCCTTCTTTTTTTTTTTTTTTTTTTTTTCTTCTCCCGCTTCGTGTGTATACTTTCTATGTATTAACAGGTCAGTTACCTATTTTCTTTGCGTTGGCAACCTCCTGTAGGTTGCAGCAAGCCCCTATCTCGCGTGAGCGGGCATCTTTGATGGAGGGTCTTGACTGGCCAGTTCTGAAAACAGAGCAGCATCAAATTTACGAATCCGCGCCCGGATCGCGCATCAACAAGTATTGCCACATCCAGGCATGCGCGCCGTGTTCGCTTCAGCGATCCAGCCCAAACCCCCGTTTTCGTTGTCGTCCCCCCCTGGCCCAGAAGAGTTTTCCACACCCCTGATTGGGTCTCGACCCTGGGAATCCTGGTCGAGGGAGCACGCTAGACGAACAAATTGGCCGCGACCATGATGAATTTCCGGCGCGCAGCTGCAGAGGGACCTGGCGCGTTGAGACAAGCTGGAAGATAAGGGTCACTGGGCCACACACAGCACACACAATGTTCATGATGCTTTGCAGCTTCTGTCCTTTCCTCCTCCACCCCTTTTCCTTGCGACAGCAGGCGACCTAATTTTTTTTTATTATTTTTTTTATTTTCAACTTTTTTCCTATTCCACATCCACATTTTTTCTCTTTCCTCCTTCCTGGTTTCTGCTCATCCCTCAACTGGGTGCCCAATCGCTCTCTTCTCACGGCAGCGCATCGCTCACCGCCGCGTAGAAAGCGCCTTCCCCAGCACCAAAAAGAAGAAAAAAAGGAGAAAGAATAGCATTATCCAGTTGCTGTTGTCGTCGTCCAACAAAACCACCAAATAATGATCTCCAAGCTGGCTACGCCGCTGGGTTCCCCAACCCTCGCGGCCACGGCAGCACAGTTCCGCAATCGCTTGCCGACTCAATTCCGACGATGCCTTCCCATCTACACCGCCGCAATCTTCCTCTTCCTCTTCATCTTCAATCTCAACATCTTCCACTCGAATGTTCCGCCACCTGGTTTGGGTCACCGGCCGACAGCCGTCACTCCTCAGGTTTATAAGCCCCGCGCCGAGTTTCCGAGAAAAATATGGCAGACCTGGAAGGTGAACCCCCTCAGGTTCGAGGAGCGCGATCTCAACACTGCCAGGTCGTGGGTCAGCAAGAACCCCGACTACAGATACGAGGTCCTGACCGACGACAACGACATGAAGTACGTTGAGTGGCATTTTGGCCCCGACGGCTTCAACCGCCCCGATATCGTCAACTTTTACCGCGATGTCAAGGCTGCAATCGTCAAGGCCGATCTGCTCCGTTACATGATCATGTATGCTGAGGGCGGTCTGTACGCCGATATCGACGTCGAGGCCCTGAAGCCCCTCAACAAGTTTATCCCCGAACGCTACGATCAGAAGGATATTGATATGATCATTGGCGTCGAGATCGACGAGCCTGACTGGAGCAACCACCCCATTCTTGGCCCCAAGTCACGTTCATTCTGCCAATGGACGTTCATGTGCAAGCCCCAGCTGCCCGTTATGATGAGGCTGATTGAGCAGATCATGACGTGGCTCAATGGCGTCGCCAAGGAGCAGAATGTCCCTCTCGCCGAGGTCAAGCTGGATTTCGACCAAATTATTAGTGGCACCGGACCCTCTGCTTTCACCAACGCTATTCTCAAGGAAATGGATGCTACAAAGGAGGATCCCAACGTCAAGGTCGAATGGGACATGTTCCACGACCTGCAAGAGTCTAGAGTTGTCAGCCGAGTGCTCGTGCTCACCGTCGAGGCTTTCGCTGCCGGCCAGGGCCATTCCGACTCGGGCAATCACGACGCCAGAGCCGCCCTGGTCAGGCATCACTACCACGCCTCCAACTGGCCCAGCAGACACCCCCGGTACAGCCATCCCGCATACGGCGAGGTCGAAAAGTGCAACTGGAATGACGACTGCGTCAACAAGTGGGACAAGGACGTTGAGGCCTTCTCCAAGATGACCGAGGCGGAACAAAAGAAGATCATCGCTGAGAAGGAAAAAGAACGACAAGAAGAGGAGGACAGGAGGAAGGCCGAGGAAGAAAAGCAGAAGAAGGAGAGAGAAGCCGAGGAGAAAAAGAAGAAGGAGGAGGAGGAGAAGAAGAGGAAGGAGGAAGAGGCTAAGCAGGCCCAGAAGCTCAAGGAGAGCGACGAGAAGACGGGCAGGGATAAGGAAAAGGAGAAGGAGGATGGTGAGAAGCCCAAAGAGGGCGAAGACAACAAGAAGCAGGAGGAGAAGAAGTCTGGATGGTTCTCATAATGATTATCGATATATTAAAGGGGCGAAGGGGGTGTCTGGAGTTCTACTAATGAAGAGACGACTTCCTGATATAGCAAAAAGCTTGGCGACAATGTTACACGGCCAGGCAAGATAAAGCGATGAGGATACGACTCAAAGTGACGCGTCGCCGCGCACAAAGAACTTGGTTGGTTGAAAGCGTTTCTGGAGCTGTACTGTAGGGATTTTAAAAACATAAACGCATCGGGATGGCATGTTTGGAACGGCGCTGCTTACTTTGTACATAAATTCTTTTTTAGGCCAAGACTGCGGTCCGCTGGCGTAGAGACTGGGTGAGCTGCACGTTGAACCGTTCGCCGCCCAAGATTCCTCGAGGCATTGGTATACCAATTTAATAGGACTGAAACCCAGCAAGAAGCCAGGTGCGAATTGTTGCCGTTGTGAAGTGTATGTAGACTTGCAATCAAGGGGAAAATGTCGTTGGCACAAAGGTATGTGTGTACTGTACGGGGGCGAGAATCTCGGCGCCTGAGGAAGCATGAGATGAGTGCCAACCCCAAGCTCGTCTCACTTATACCACATTGGCATGCGTGATGGCCATCTCCTACTGTCGCGCCATGACTTTTCTCGAGATACATCGCCCAAAAAAACTCTTTCAAATTCACGACGGGGCATAATTCCACAAAATGCCCTACCCCTTTCGCAATGTCTGTCTGGTTTTAGATGGGGCAGCGAAACTCGGTTTGTTGGGCAAATCTTGATTGCCGCAATCGACCCGGATGGGCTTCAATTAAACTCGACAATCCAGATCTGCCATCCTTGGTCTTTGTGCTGAAGCACGTACGTACAATCCGCGCCGAGCCTATGCCGTCCCGTGGATACGGAGCTGGATGCGCAAACCTCAAACATTTCCCCCAAAAGCCGAGCACGCAGACACGCCAATACCTGCCGCGTGCACCTGTCTGATCGTCCAGAAAAAGGGGGTTTTAAACATGAGCCAGTATTTGCATTCTACCGGTACCCCTAGTACTCTTCGGGTACAGTTCAAAAGAAATATAAAGAGACGAGTAATGGTTCCAGTGCACTCTCGGGTTGGATGTTTTTTTTTTTTTTGATCTTCTCCATCTTCAGGCTTGCTTCATTCTTTTCTTTCTGACCGACCGGCTCGATCGACCTTCTTTTTTTCTACACTCCTTTTATTCTCATTCTTGCAATTACAACGGCAAGCCGTTTATCTAAATACATTTTTTAATACACCATAGTATAACCGCTCGGTCGGATTTTTCTCTTCTTTTTACACATCACCATGCAGGTCAAGGCTCTTGTTCTCGTCGCCCTTGCGTCAATGGGTGAGGCTCGCTTCGGCCAGGAGGGTGCTATCCAGAGCATCATCCAGGGTCTGGGTGCCTTCGGTCCCGCGGGTGCTGCTGGCACTCTCGCCGGCCAGACCCCCGGCGTGTTGTTGGCTGGCGCCAGTGCCTGCGCAAAGGTACTTATTTAGACCCCCTCTCCCAAGTCCCCCTCTCCGTACTGCTCGAGGATTACACAGTCACGAAAAAAAAAATTCTAACTCGGCATCAGCTTGAACTTGCCGACGAGATCGTCGCCACCCTCGGTAACGACCCTCAAGTCATTGCCGGCGCCGCGGCCCTCGTTGCCGCCGAGAAGAACTTCAACCCCTTTGCTGTTGATGTTCCCACCATCTGCAACAATGCCGCTCTCCCTGCCACCCCCGAGCTCCGTGGCATCGTCCCCCTTGTCGACCCTGCCGTCGACGGTGCCGATGTCCAGAACGCCAACTCTGCCGCCTCCCTGGCTGCTCCGTTTACCGATAACGGCCTCAGCGTCGCTGATATCACGAGGGCTCAGGGCTTTGAGAACTTTGACGAGCAGGCTTAGGTTGCTGGCTGGAGCAATGGCGGAAAAGTAATCTGATGGATCTCTTGAGTTGTGAGCCGAGGACGGAGAGCAACTGGATCGGTCTGAATAAGTCATGAAACTATGTACGAAACACAATGTCAGTTTTATTCCGCCTTGTGAAAAATACTCTTGGAGGGCCATGGTGTACAAGGAACTGCGTATATAGCCAAACGAAATGTAACTGATGACAGTGAACACATCGTCCATCACGCACATGTTGCCTGTTCTTGTGCCTTACTTCGATTCCCAGGCCCAACACCCCTCCCCGCGGTCAGAAGGGGAAAAGACCACCGGACCAAGTCCTTTGAAACAAAAAAAGAATGAAACAAGGTCCAAAAAATATGTTTAATTCTCTCCTTTCATGAAGTGGATGGTCAGGATAATGGCCCCCCGCCCCCATGATCATTCAAGCTATCCTGGAATAACTCGATATCCAGGTTGTTTGGATAGGTACTCAAAGAGAGAGAGAGAGAGAGAGAGAGAGAGAGAAAAGTCAGGATTGCACACAAAACGAATAGGCAGTCGTACTGGAAAATGATCTCGTAAACTTTTTGAATATTACCTGCTAAGGTAGGTATTATTATTGCACGTGACTCGGAGACAGAGAGCGATAGGAGACAATAATGACATTTCATCTTGACATATCTTGTCTAATAAAGAAAAATTAAACAAATGAAGAACAGCACACAGAATTATTGTTTTAAATGTGAATTAAATAAAAGAAAAAAATTCAAGGAGGGAGGGAAAAAAAAAAAAAAAAAAAAAAACAGAACCCACAAAAATGAATGCCCAATAACAGGATTGAACTGTTGACCTTCGCATTTACTAGATATGACCCCAGAAGGGTGATATTAGTACGACGCTCTAACCAGCTGAGCTAATCGGGCTTTGGGTGGTGTTTTTCATTAAAATTGAATTTTCAACTCTATAATCCTGTTACACTGAATCGCAGCACATACAACTGGCCCCCTTTCAGTGTCAACTTTGCTGGTGGTCGAGTGATGAAGAACGGCAGGCAAGCCTCTGGAACCTACCCTGGATTACGTGTTGATTGAATCCGTGTGGTTTCATTTTCAGGTACTGGCAGGTAACTTACCAAAAGCGGACCTAACCTCGCCCCGTCGCCGGTCGGACGGTGGAGGATCCATGCAAGCCGTTCCGGCGGTATCGTTGCCGGCATCTCTCCAATGAATTCTAAACCTCAAGCGCGTGTTGCTGCAAGCTGAAGATGTGGTTAATCAGGAGTCAAGGGTTGACGGAAGAGTACCAGGAAAAGCTGGACTTTGAGCCGAATAAGCAAAGAATTTGATTTCAAGGTACTGTAAATACAAGATGTGAGAGCCTAAGCAATCAGACTGTCTCTGACCCCTCAGATACCGCTGCTAAAAGATAGCTACATGTCCCCGGCTTCTCTCGGGGCTCTAGCACGGGCCACAGCCAGGAATCCAGCTCCATCTCCGACTTGACATCATCTGGGATTTTTGCCAGCAGTTTGTGCAGCCCGTGGATCTCATGAGCCCACCGCCACTGTAGCTCTGATAGATCGGGCTCAGATTGAACTAGAAGCTTCAAGAAATTAATCCACCGCACCTGATTTTGTCGAAGAATGGGCGCGTGGTCAACGACCCCTATCTCGGCCAGGGGTGGTTTGTAATCGGGGTCAGGGAAGCAAAACCAGCCAAGGACTAAGAAGGTGCCCCACCAATGTACTAGTGGGCTGATATTCAAGTTGCGGCGAGCATGCACGATGATTACCTCCATCATGCGTCTATTCACGAGCCGGCAACCGATCGGCGTATATCGTCTGACTGATTCGGCTTTGGTCCATTTGCTACTCGTGTGAGCCTCACTATGGCGAACTGGAAAGGTGAGAATTCTGTACAAGAGCCACGTCGCACTCCTCTTCCGGTCAAAGTCGTTCTTGTCGGACAGCCTTTGCTCAATGTATCTGGATAAGTTACCCAACGCTGCCAAGTCAAGGAAGGTTTGGGCTCGATCGCCTAGGGGATCATGGTCACCTGAGCCGAAAAGAGAGAGAGGAGGATCGTGATTTGGTCCGTAATGCGGCCACTCGAATTGCGGATTCTCCAGGGTGTGAGCGCAAGGAGTGATTAGTTTTGCAATCGATGTCATTGTGCGATCCAGTTCATCCACTAGGCCGATATAGCTTTTTAGATGGGGGCAAGCTGGAGAGTCGACCAAATCAGCATAATGCATAGCATCCATAGCAGAGTCGACCAATTCAGCATAATGCATAGCATCCATAGCCCAGATATATGAAGACCCAAACTCTGCGCGAGTCTTGCTGTTCGCGACCATCTTCGTTCCCAAGGTTTTGATAAACATGACGTGCCCGGCCAGAAGAGCCAAGTCAGGATCAAAGTTGGGGTCGTAATCCCCTTGGCCGAAGATTTCTTTCCAGGTAGTCTTCCGAAGGACAAAGTCTTTGGCCGTCTTGTGCACAAACTCAATCTTGTATTCAGGGGCCTCGCACTCGAGAAGGCCGCCAAAGTGAGCCTTGATCCTGCGTTGGAATCGTTCTCTTAGTTCTGTGAGGTCGATTGGGCTTGCAAGATTGATTTTCGCCTCCTTCACTTTGGTGACATTTATTCGACCGTTCTCCCAATGCTGGAGGGCGTACGACGCAACGCGCACATCTAGTTTATTCCAATGCGAGGCCGCAAGGACTAGCCGGAGGACGCGCGAACTTTCTAGCAGATAATCCGGCGTCGCCTTCAGGCCGTTCATCATTCGCATGTACAAGCCATCATGGCCCTGAAGATCTCGCGGCAAGCCGTCGAGAGCCTTCAAAATGTCGGCCATCTCACAGTCGTCCTCCATCATTGAGTTGATCCTTTTGGTAACCAACTCCACCCAGAGGAAGACTCCATCGGATTGCTCAACAATCTTGCCGATCAGCTCCGCGCGCACCTTGCCCAAAATGCGAAGAGATAGGGTGGACGAGCAGTAGGCTTTGATATCGTTTTGCGTGTGCTTGTGCATCCTGATTCTGGGGAACGCGGCAAAGTTTTCTTCGAATATCGTGATTTCCCGACTCGAGACACACAGCTTCAACCCGGGCCGCTGACTCAGCTCGTCGACGAAATAGTTGACAATCTCGCGGCAGTTCTCCGCCACCAGATTCCGTGCAACCGAACAGGAATCGGCTTGGCTTTGCCATTCCAGCTCGTCCATGTCGTCTCTCGTATAATTCTCGACTTTGGTGTCGCTGCGGCACTCGTCCAATCCATCAACAAATATACACACCTTCCAACCTTCCTTTTGGGTGTGATCCAGAACCTTATTCAGAGCGATCTTCAGTTCATCCCAACTCAAAAACTCAGCTGGGAGCGAGGACGGCGGGCCAGGCAAGTGTGCAAGTGAAGGGTATGCTATCTCTGCAAGCTCGTTCTTCTTGTTGATAAGCCGGTACAGAAGGGTTCTCAGCATTCCCTCTCGTGACCTTTGCAAGGGGTCCCCGAGCTCTGTCATGAAGAACCCACACAACAGCACCTCTTTTCCCTTGGACCAGATGTTCAAGCGATCCCGCAGGCATGGGCCCCGGTATAGCGACTTCATGAGCGTCGACTTTCCGCTCCCGGGCTTGCCGCTGATCCAGAATGCCTGTTTGTCGCCCCCTGCGAGCCAAGAAACAAACGAGGACGGCTTGGGGTCTTTTCGGCTGGACGGTCGAAATGGGCCAAAAATCCAAGAGAATGTTGACTGATGAGGCACCTTGATGGCATCGTCTCGGCGGTCGATGGAGTCAAACCACAAAAGATTTAGGATATCTATATCTTGCATTAGCAAAGAGTCGGACGGAAAACGAATTGATCATTAAGACGATAAGAGCAGTGACTAAGAGCTAGGTAAACACTCGGTATCATCTGACATGTCCGAATAGCCGATCATCCCTCAGAAAGAGAACAGGTTTGACAAAAGAAGACAAACAGAACCAGGCCCAACTAATAGCAAAAAAAAAAAAAAAAAAAAAAAAAAAAAAAAAAAAAAAAAAAAAAAAAAAAAAAAAACCAGTCCCATTTAAACTTCCATGAAAACTTCCCCCTCCCGCCACATACACCCCGTATCTTTAAGAATACATGAATTTGGCCATGCATCTCCTGTACGAGGCCGTGAAAATCAAATCAAACCCTCTCTCTCTCTCCTTCTGAGAATAATCGGCATTCAACGTCTTATCACGGCGTCTGCATAAACCGGCGCATGCGGCTGACGAAACGTACCTTTTGGTTGCCAATGCAGCTGCTGAGGCGACTCCCGCAGGTCGATCGAGTTTTGTGACAGTAGGTTGTTGATTTGGACGTTAACTGGGGATGGGCTCCAATGACGTTGCTGCGATACCGCCGGTGTTTGTTGCCAGGCCTGTTGCTGCTGCTGCTGCTGCTGCTGCTGCTGCTTCTCGTTGAACTTCTGCAGAATCCAATGCATTTGGCCCACGGTGTGTATATAACCTGGCGAGGAATTATTTGCAAACTTGACCATGTTCATGTGGTTGGCATGGATGCTCAACGGTCGAACCAGGAACCCGGTGTAAAGTGCAGAACTCTTGGGGACGATCTAAATAGAGATGGACATGGATTGTTAGCTTTAATTAAGAAAAAAAAAAAAAAAAAAAAAAAAAAGGTAGGTGGTCGATGAAGCATGTACGCACCAGTCCGAAATTCAACCAGGGAATCTCCTCGGCGAAGCAAACAACTGGTATGTCTTTTGTGACCGTCATAAACCCGTCGCGTTGCTGTTCGAGAATATGAGAGTCGGGCGCAAGAGTTGCCAGCAGCTGACTGTTGGGCTGCTTGCGCACCAGCTTGGCGATGTTGGCGACGATTTGGCCCAGCCTCTCGCCGTCGCTGCCGCTGTGTGGCGTCCCAAAGAAGATGACGCCAATCGTCGAGGAGTAGAGTCTACCATAATCCTCGAAGCGTTCGTTAAGGTGGTGGCCGTTGGTGCTTATGATGGCGTCCTTGATGACCAGACCTCCAAGGCTGTGCCCAATCCAGATGATGGGCCGGTCCGGTGCGCTGTATCTCAAGTGTGCGAGTCGAGCCGCCAAGTTTTGGCAGTGACCAAATATGCCGTTCTGACTTGCGTTGGAACCCAAGTTGTCGATGTTGGCATCGTAGCCGTATGAAATAATTCTGGCATCCGGGAAATCATCCTTGAGCAGGTCTCGTGGCCAGCACACGTTATCAACCGACCAAGTGTCAATGGGATGCCCGCGAAGACCATGGACGAAAACGACATCCAGGTTGCAGTTCTGTCCGCCGGGGACTAGGACTGTGCAGCTGGACTGCGGCACCTCCTGGCTGGATTGCAGTGAGGACTGGCTAGAGCGTGGTGACGGTGGAGTAGATTCTGAGAAGGTTTGGCTAGACACAGAGGACGCCTGGCTAGACACAGAGGACGCCTGGCCAGACCCAGAGGTTGCCTGGCTGGATTCGGCGTTTCCCATGATTGAAAATGTTGAGGTTGTAATGGAGAGGATACGAGATGAGTATCTTGATGAGAGAGAAGGTACTTGGAGATGCTGGGACCGTGGGTATCGTGAAAGTTAAGTAGGTGTTACCCCTTGAGGAAACGAGCGAGGTATTCACAATGTTTTGTATAAACCAAAAGCAAGAGATGAAAAAAAAGAAAAAAAAGAAAAAAAAAGGGGGGGGGGGCGGGTGGGTATAGAGAGAGATGGAAAACTTGAAGCCGGCAAGAATAACTCGTAAAGTGTTTACAGATGGAACTTGAAGGTTGAAAACGACACCAGGAAATCAATTATACCTCGCTCATATATCATTACTGTCGAGGGCTTGCGTGGGACTCAGATCCAAGGCAACCAAGATGGGGATGTATCAGCTTAGCGCCAGCCTTCTTTACTTTT